TTAAGATTTCTAGTAGACCACGTCACAAAAAACCTACGTGCTTTAAATACTTTAAAACAACCAACTGATCATTGGGACACCCTGATCGTATTCATGCTCTCAGCGAAATTAGACAGCAATACGCGTGTTAAATGGGAGGAATACATTCAAGCTACTGTTAATGGTTCCGATATGCCTAGCCTATATTTTATAACGTTTATTAAGGGCCGTGCTGAAGTTTTGGAGTCTGTTTACCGAAATAAACAAGAAAAAAGTATAAAGTCAAACCCGAATAATAATCAAGGCGTCAAACAAAATCCCGTTTCTCATACTAAGTCTCGTTAGCGCTGAGCAGGGCGACTCATTATCAACCGCGTCTCACAAGTGTATTTTCTGTAGCCAAGGTCATCGTAATTATGAGTGCTCACAATTTCAATCGAAATCTATTGATGATAGACTTTCATTAGTATCCGAGCTAAAGTTGTGTCCCATCTGTTTACGTAAAGGCCATAATACACGCGCTTGCAATCTTCCAGGAACGTGAAGAATATGCAAAAAACGTCACAATACATTTTTACACAAACCTACGGATTCTGATACTAATGTGGCAGTCACTAACGTTAAAGTCTCTAAGCCAGTTTCGATGTCAGCTGTTTTTGCTTCAGAGATACTATTATGTACGGCTTTGGTTGATATTTGTAATCCCACAACAAACAATTACATTACCACTAAGGCTCTCTTAGACAACGGCAGTCAATCTAGCTTTATTACAGAAGCACTTAAATCAAAGTTAAATTTAACTTCATCCACATCCGATACTAACTTCTAGCGATGATGAAGATCAATTACGGTCTATACAAAAATCAACACATGAGACTCTTTCTATGGCTGGTTTTAATTTACGTAAGTACCGATTCAACTTACCTTCTTTACTGCCTTCAGATGTTGTCCAGTCATCCGGCAACCTGACATTGAGTCAGTCTACAAATACGCTGGGCCTAAATTGGAGTCCTTCATCCGACAGTATTAACTTTCCCATTGCAGTGAATCAGTCTGAGGTCGTCACTAAGCGCTCCATTTTTTCTTCTTTCAAGATCTTCGATCACTTGGGGCTCCTACCCTTGTCCACTATCGTTCCCAAAATTTTAATTCAGACCTTATGGTCTCTCAAATTGCACTGGGATGAGCCCGCTCCAAAGGAAATCGTCGATGTTTGGAGACCTTTTGTTGAAGGACTTAAATGTCTTTCTTCACTAAATATATGACTGGATACTCTATTGATACCTAGATGGGTATCAATAGAGTATCCAGTCTCTGTTGAAATCCACTGTTTTTGCGATGCATCGCAACACGCCTATGGAGCGTGTTTGTACCTTCGATCTACAAATAAAGAAGGACAAGTACACGTCCAAATCTTATGTGCGAAATCTCGCGTTGCCCCAGCATCCAGCCCTATTACAATTCCTCGTTTGGAGCTTTCAGGTGCTCTTCTTGCAGCTGAAATGAGCTCAACTGTGACAAAGGCCTTACGACCTAAAATATCGCGTCATGTCTATTGGACTAACTCGAGCGTAGTTCTCAGTTCGTTGCGCTGCGGTTCTTCTAACTTGAAAGCATTCGTTCCCAACAGAGTCGCCGCCATTAAAAAGTTGACTGACGCTAATTCATGGCACCACGTTCCTACAGAACATAACCCAGCCGACCTACTATCCCGTGGCGTTAAACCACAACTAATCGCTGCATGAGAAAGGTGGTAGTATGGACCTAAGTTTTTATTGTTGCCTGAGTCCGAGTGGCCTTCTAAGCAGTTCGCAGACTATTATTGGGATGAAGAATTTGCCGGAAGTTAAGGCACATCCAGTTGCTATTTGTGATAATTATCAATCAATTATTAACTTTAGTAAATATTCTAAATTACAACACATTTTAGCCTATGTACATAGATTTAGGTTCCTTAACTACCGCCGAGCTTAATAAAGCTCTTTACTCATTAGTTTATATTTCCCAATTAGAGGCATTCCCCAAAGAATACGATTTATTATTAAAGGGAAATTTTCTAAGTCCTAAGTCGCACATTTCGGCACTGAACCCCTTTTTACATGAAGGAGTGATAAGAGTAGGAGGTCGTATTCAGGCTTCTGAATATAGTTTCGACATGAAGCATCCCATGTTGTTAAGCCGTAAACACCACTTTACCCAACTTTTATTCCAACAAGAACACGTACGGCTAGGGCCTCAAGCCTTACTAGCTTCTATTAGAACGCGTTTTTGGCCCATAGGTGGAAGAAGTCTGGCTAGACGTACTGTGCATAATTGCACCGTATGTAGGCGTTTTAAGGGTCAGTCTATGAAAAACATACTGGGCAACCTACCTGCTCAAAGACTAATGCCCGACTTTCCCTTTATTACAGTAGGGATTGATTTCGCTGGGCCATTTATGATCACGGATCACAAAGGTCGTGGTTGTAAATATACAAAATGTTATTTGTGTATTTTCATATGTTTTAGTTAGTGTTATGTTATGTATAGTTAGTGTTTGAACATAGGCCTCCTCTCATTTCTGAGAGGGTTTTAGGGCTAGGAAATGTTCGCTGCGCTACCTCAATGCGTGTTGGCAAACTTCACATGCCTTCGAAATTTTCTCGGACATGCATTCCTCACGATGTTTTCCTTCATCGCTGAGCACGTGGTAAATCAGCACTTAAAATTGCAATTAACAATTTAATTGGTGCCGGCGGGGATCGAACCCGGGTCGCGTACTGTGAATTTTACATTTTGCGCTAACCATCTAAGCTACCACGGCTTAATCATATACACACATAATATTTAAATATAATTTGTTAACACTAAATCATACACACGTAAGAAAATAACAGAAAGAAAAGTAAGTTTGTCAATAGAATAAACACTTACATCCATGGCCTTTGATGCGTTGAAGTAACACAAACGTAGTATTGATAGATCCACTGCGGTCAAACGACCATACACTAACTCCATGACTGCAGTTGCGCGGTCTTATATAGTACCAGTAAGTAATAATTCTAATCTAAAGAATTTCTGCAGTGGAATTGATAGTAACTTTATGCGTCAACAAGCTTATCTCACATTCTGTTGCTTATCTCAGCATTGTCGTCTTGTTCAGTGTATTGATGACGCAAATACGTTTTGTATAACACAAAATAATGCAATTTAATATTTAGAAATCACTATAATTGATCATTCCTATGTTAGTCATAGAGTAGATTGTACTGTAATAATCTACTAATAGCAGTAATATCATGGATACACTAGGTGTACAACAACATCTGAAAAAGATTCACCCCACTCTAGAAAATAATGTTTATGCTGCCAATAAACTGCCCATGTACACCCACGTACCAACGTATATAATATGCAATTTGGATACAGATGATAAACCAGGGTCACATTGGGTAGCTTTATATATCGATACGAATGACGTCGGTCAATATTTTGATTCATTCGGACGAGCACCTGTACGATATCATCTAGAGTTTTTAAAAAGAAATTGTAAAAGATGGAACTGGAATGTTGATAGGATTCAGAATGAGTGGACTTCAGTTTGTGGCGAATATTGCTTAATGTAGTTGCTATATAAGTTTCAGGGATGTTCAATGCATAGTTTTACGAGTATATTTACAGGGAACACATTGTACAACGATATTTTAGTGGATGAGATGTTTCGCTCCTATTTTATAGATAATAAGTAATAAGATTTTGTATTTTGTAAATAAAAATTTTAACAAATTTAGGTAAAGTATTTTATTGATGAGTCAGATTAGTGTACATAGGAACAAAGGAGTATAATACATTAGCACCACGCTGAGGAAGAATAGATAATGACGGTATTCAATGAACAATAGATAAATAGATAAGAACAATGGAGCGCTAATGACGGCGGAGGCCTTCACTGGATATCAATTAGATAAGAGTTAATTGATCTGCACATCTCCGGAACCGTGCATCCTACGCAAAAATGGACGCAGATTCGTGATCAGAGCATGCCAAAACCTTTTTTTTTTAGAATCGTGAGTCGACGAACGTTGTACTTGTACCACTTCTGACTCAGTGAGCCAGAACTGGTACAACGTAACTACTCAAGTTTTATTTAGGTCGCGGGGCGGTTTATGCTTAACGAGTTCCAGAAAGTTATTCCAAGCACGTGCACCGTAATTCTATAAACTAACCAGCTCTAACGAGAAAAAAATAAAAATATTCGTCCGCAATTTGCTTTGTGCTAGTTCGTGAGACATCTGTGTAAATAATACCTCAAAATAAAAGGCAATTACTAAGCATGTTTTTAAAAAGTTTAAATAACAAAGACTATTTTATTTATTTTTTTATGATGGCATAAACACAACATTTCCTTAATTTTTTTTTTGGTTTCTTAAACTTAAATAAGCGAAAAATGTTTTCCTGTTGTTCCTGATGCTTGGAAATTATTTTGTTTGAGTAATCACACATTACATAAATAAAAATAATAACATAACAACTGTTACTGAACACTATCAGCAATTAGTTGAAGAAAAATGGTTTTATTGTTATAAACCTTAGAAATTCAAATAAAAAAAGGAGCAGACTTCGTCTAAGACAATTTAGCTTAATGTAATCCAAATGACTTAAGGTGTCATCCCCTTCAGACTTTGCACCTATCTTTAAAACAGCCTATATACAGCAGCAGCATAACTATACCACGTACAAAAATAATTAATATTTCAACTAAGCATTTATAAATATTTTTTTCATTGCCTAAGCTAGATTCCCATATTTAATAAGCGTTTCGTTTTGCGAAACGATCCGTTTTATAATATTGCAAGAAAAATGTAGAAACTCCTCATTAAGAAAACTTAGAGCGACTTAAAATAAAAAAAATTTATTAATAGTTTAAATGGTATTTTGTTTAAATTAATTTCCTTCCTTAATTTCGCCGCGCGCCGGCAGCAGCGCGCCCAGCTCCCCCGCCTCCTGCTCACCCTCACCCTCCACACACCGCACACACTGACCGTGTAGGGTGCGGCCAGCAGACGCTTGAGCAGCGCGGCGCGGCGCGGGGCCGGCGCCAGCAGCACGCGCGCCGCCGACCACTCGCCACGCGCCGGCAGCAGCGCGCCCAGCTCCCCCGCCTCCTGCTCACCCTCACCCTCCACACACCGCACACACTGACCGTGTAGAGTGCGGCAAGCAGACGCTTGAGCAGCGCGGCGCGGCGCGGGGACGGCGCCAGCAGCGCGCGCGCCGCCGACCACTCGCCACGCGCCGGCAGCAGCGCGCCCAGCTCCCCCGCCTCCTGCTCACCCTCACCCTCCACACACCGCACACACTGACCGTGTAGGGTGCGGCCAGCAGACGCTTGAGCAGCGCGGCGCGGCGCGGGGCCGGCGCCAGCAGCACGCGCGCCGCCGACCACTCGCCACGCGCCCAGCTCCCCCGTCTCCTGCTCACCTCACCCTCCACACACCGCACACACTGACCGTGTAGGGTGCGGCCAGCAGACGCTTGAGCAGCGCGGCGCGGCGCGGGGCCGGCGCCAGCAGCGCGCGCGCCGCCGACCACTCGCCACGCGCCGGCAGCAGCGCGCCCAGTTCCCCCGCCTCCTGCTAACCCTCACCCTCCACACACCGCACACACTGACCGTGTAGGGTGCGGCCAGCAGACGCTTGAGCAGCGCGGCGCGGCGCGGGGCTGGCGCCAGCAGCACGCCCGCCGCCGATCACTCGCCACGCGCCCAGCTCCCCCGTCTCCTGCTTACCCTCACCCTCCACACACCGCACACACTGACCGTGTAGGGTGCGGCCAGCAGACGCTTGAGCAGCGCGGCGCGGCGCGGGGCCGGCGCCAGCAGCACACGCGCCGCCGACCACTCGCCGCGCGTCGGCAGCAGCGCGCCCAGCTCCCCCCCCTCCTGCTCACCCTCACCCTCCACACACCGCACACTCTGACCGTGTAGGGTGCGGCCAGCAGACGCTTGAGCAGCGCGGCGCGGCGCCAGCAGCACGCGCGCCGCCGACCACTCGCCACGCGCCCAGCTCCCCCGTCTCCTGCTCACCCTCACCCTCCACACACCGCACACACTGACCGTGTAGGGTGCGGCCAGCAGACGCTTGAGCAGCGCGGCGCGGCGCGGGGCCGGCGCCAGCAGCGCGCGCGCCGCCGACCACTCGCCACGCGCCGGCAGCAGCGCGCCCAGCTCCCCCGCCTCCTGCTCACCCGCACCCTCCACACACCGCACACACTGACCGTGTAGGGTGCGGCCAGCAGACGCTTGAGCAGCGCGGCGCGGCGCGGGGCCGGCGCCAGCAGCACGCGCGCCGCCGATCACTCGCCACGCGCCCAGCTCCCCCGTCTCCTGCTCACCCTCACCCTCCACACACCGCACACACTGACCGTGTAGGGTGCGGCCAGCAGACGCTTGAGCAGCGCGGCGCGGCGCGGGGCCGGCGCCAGCCGCGCGCGCGCCGCCGCCCACTCGCCGCGCGTCGGCAGCAGCGCGCCCAGCTCCCCCGCCTCCTCCTCCTCCTCACCCACCGCACGCTCCCCCGCTACACCGCGCGCAAACTCCCGTTCCAGCGCCTCGCATTCCTCCTCACACTGAAGATATAACCACATATTTCTTTAAGTTTTTCATAATAATAACATTCATAAAACCACATATTATAAGCATTGTAACCACTTACGGTGTGTACCATAACTAAAATCTGGCTTATCTATCGTATTATACCAATCCTGTTGTAACGGGATATGTCCAATAGTGGGAATTAAAATCTAAGAAATACACTTTATTGTCCTAGATCTGACAGTTTTAAAATTATGTTTTTTTAATATTAAGATAAAATTGTTGTACAATGTACACAAAAGGAGGATGGCAAAATCGTACCAGACAACGAAACAATAACGTCCCAATATGAAATATTTATGTAAAATACCCTTATTGTTTAAGATCTTAAAACACAAAAAATACCTCTCTAAGTAGCCATAAAAAAGTTATCCATTTATTTCTGTTTTTGTAACTGTTCAAAATTATTTCAAATTATAGTTTCAGAACGTTCCTAATGACGACTCATTTCGTGTATGAAAGGACTTGGTATTCAGACTATAATGATTCACGTTTTTAGTAATAGTTATTAATTTTAATTCAATTCAATTAGTATGTAGATATCAAATCAACTACTTTGCTGATTTATTATCAACTGGATTATTGTCATAAAAATAATTATGTAGGTCAAAGTAAAGCTAAACGTTTTGTTCCATATGTACAACGGAACGTCATTTGTCATCGCTTACTCTGTGGCCATCGATCCGCACTATTATTGTCATTTCCTTCTGTTGTTTTGACCTCGGTATTGTTTTACGGACTGATTTTATCACATCTTGGATAATTGTGAGAGACATCACAACTATACAACAAAAACAACTAGGCGTGCGATTGCTATGTGTTATCTTATATTTACGCGAACACTACACATTGAAATAATACTAGTTTTTACGGAATTTATCGCGTATATTTAACTTTTTAATTACCCGACGTTTCGAGAGCTTTACAGCACCCATGGTCACGGGACGGACTGAGATGTTCAACGTCCAGCTGTCATAGTTAACCGCGGTTACCATAGATTAAAATTTAACTTTTGTTCCGATCTACACAGTATGAACTTATGGTATCATGGAGTCTTGCAGTTGTATGCTTGGGTTGGGATTTAATTTTATTTATTATAGGATCCCAAGCAGATGGTAGCACCCAGCCATCTTCTCTATTGAAATTAGGATGTTTTTTGATTTCAATAGCCTCGCGAATCATCCTTGGAAGGAATCGGTGTTCTTTAGCGAGGATTTGTGGTCTATCAAATCTGATGTAGTGACGGGGGGCGATCCTGTACATGTTCACAGACTGCAGACTTCCCGGAGCGTCGATTCTTCACATCAGCTATATGTTCTTTGACGCGGGTTTTAATGGATCTTTTAGTTTGTCCTATGTAGGAGAGACCACATTCACAATCAAGCTTGTATACTCCTGCATCTTGCAGAGGGACGTTAGTTTTAGTTCCATTCAAATGCAAATTATTAACATTAAACCAATTGACTAACGTAGCTATAGCATTATTTACTTCGTCGTAATTTAATAACTGTCGTTTTAATTTAAAAATTAATGAAGTATCATCAGCAAATAATACTATATCATGGTTATCCACTACTATGTAAGGTAAGTCATTAATATACAAGAAACAGAAAGGGGCCGAGAATTGAGCCCTGAGGCACGCCCATTTGTACAATCGACCCGGAAGAACTCATACTATTAATGACAACTTTTTGTGTTCTGTTACTTAAATATGAAATAATTAATTTAAGAGCATCGCTTCTTACACCGTAGTGTTGAAGTTTCCTAATTAATGTTTCACTGTGAACACAATCGAAGGCTTTGGATAGGTCACAGAATACACCCAAAGCATCCTGTGAATTCTCCCATGCATTAAATATATATTTAATCAGCTCAACACCAGAATCAGTTGTCGAGCGACCCCTTGTGAAACCAAATTGATTTTTATAAAGTAAATTATTTACATTAAAAAAAATACATTTGATCAAGAACAATTTTTTCAAAAAATTTAAAATTAGCGGGGTCCAATGTACTACCAGATTTAAATAAAGGTATTACTTTTCTATGGTTCATTAAATCAGGAAACATACCAGATTCGATACTAGTATTAAAAATAATAGATAGTTGAGGTGCGATTGTATATATTATAGACGCAATAACTTTATAAGAAATTCCCTACAGATCGGCGGTTCTCTTAACATCAATAGTCTTAAAATATTTTACAATATCTTTATGAAATGTGAAATTCTTTGTACACACATTTACATTTTGTTTAAGTAATGATTCGGCGACGGCAGAAGAATTCAGTGACTTAGTGATTAAGATCGGAATATCAGTAAAATATTTTTCAAAAACCATTGCAACATCCTGATCTGATTTAGTTAATTTATTGCTACAACTAACTGGTAGTTTGAATTGCAAGAGTTGACCTTACGAGTTTCACTATTAATTATACTCCATGTCATTTTAATTTTATTAGAAGCAGTCTTTATTTTGTTGCTCAAATACAATGACTTGGCTAAGGAGCACACTCTTTTAAATATTTTGGAATATTTTTTTACATATTCCCTAAATTCGATGCTAGGATTATATGACCTTTGATTGTAAAGTTCATATAACGTTTGTCTACTCTTATGGATTCCTACTGTCGCCCATTCATTAAATGCCTTGCGATTGTTCAAGGAGAATGTTTTTGAAGTAAAAGTATTATTAAATTCATTGCAAATGAGCTTAAATAATGTTCCATACAAAAAATTTGGATTATTTTGGTATGAAAGTAAAGGAAGTTTCTTTACTATGTTACTTCTAAACTTCTCCAAGCAATGTGCATTTACTGGAACAAACACTACTTTTTTATCTACTTTCTTTTTATCACTGCAATATTATATTGTAAAATGTTTCTATTTGCTCGGGTTTAATATGAGCCAAAACATTTATATTAAGACAAGGCTGTATGGTTGTTTCAGGCAACTTTAACAGACCATGTTTGTCATCCCTGTTGGCAGCAAAATATTGAGTAGCAGACAGAGCCAGAGCCTCAACCCCAAGAACCTCAAAGCCCTCCAAATACCGACCAGCAAGATGACGAAGTACCTAGGGTGATTAGTTTGCCGCAGTATAGACAAACGGCAAACACTGCAGCACATTGTATCTTTTCTGGTTGCCAGAACACAGATTTGCATAGAATTTCTGACCCTCTAAGAGCAAGAACTCTTAGCAAACACAAATATTACTTGCCTATAAATGCTCGTATTTGTGTAGAACATACATTTAGCACTGATTGGGATATGTTGTTCAATTCTCAAAATAGTTTGAGAACATTTACGGCTGAACAAGTGGAACATGCTTTTTCTTTTATAAATGCTTTCAACACATTTCTTGATTTCTCGAGTATGGAAAGCATTGAAAGAATTGATGAGCATTTGTTTCATTATTGGCTCGGAATTAACAAACAACAATTTGATCTTTTATTATATTAAACGTTGCGCCTTATAGAAACAAATAGAGGCATTTTTTAGGAAAAGAACAAATTATGAGGTAATTTCGCACCTATGTGATTTTAATTCTATTTCAAACTTTATTTATCAATTTTAGATTGGTTTTATATTATTTTTGTTCTTATGTTTTTAAAGTTAAATATTAATAGAAACAAATAGAGGCATTTTTTAGGAAAAGAACAAATTATGAGGTAATTTCGCACCTATGTGATTTTAATTCTATTTCAAACTTTATTTATCAATTTTAGATTGGTTTTATATTATTTTTGTTCTTATGTTTTTAAAGTTAAATATTAAATATTTTGTATTTTACATATGATTAAGTTGAAATTATTTATCAGATTATTCACAATAATTGATTATTAATATTTTTATTACCCACAATTAAAAAATGCAATTTTAATACAATATTATAAATTAAGTATTTTAAGCACTTATGTGGCACTTCTATTTAGGCGCAAGACCATTTTATATTCCCTTTTATTCAGTTATAGTTTTATATTATTTTATTACTATCCTGCCAAAAAAAATAGATTTTTTTTTTACGTACTTAATTTGAAGTAACGCTTACATTTACATAGTTGTAAATTTCACAGTACACGAGCGACCCGGGTTCGATCCCCGCCGGTAACAATGAAATTGTTAGTTGCAATTTTAAGTGCTGATTATCCACGTGCTAGGTGACATCGTAAGGAAACCTGCATGTCTGGGAGACAAGAAAAAATATTTCGATGGCATGTGAAGTTCGCCAACACGCATCGGGGCAGCGCGGAGGACTTTTCCCCCTCTCAGAAATGAGAGGAGGCCTGTATCTGGTATTGGCTGTAACTTTACCTGAATATTTGTAAGGTTTAAAACCGTACGCGAATCGAACAACGTGTAAATAATTTCAACCAGTCCTCCAAAGTAATGTTCCACAGGCTATAATACATTTTTACAACGGCTTTGTTCAAATATTTTTTATTTTCATTGCTTTTATTTAATTTTCATGTTGCTGATCACTTGCTGATCACTTTTGAATATCATTTTAATAAAGTCTACTGTAACTATGCTTAAATACCTAGAATAAAAACAACAAATAAAAGTAATGGACTTTGTAAAATTTTGAAAGACAATGGCGAACTCCCAAACAAATTTTAGTTGAGTTTTTTATTGTGTCTACAAATGCAAAATATGTAAAAATATATAGTTTAAAATCCTGAAGATTTTTTTCTTCGGTCATACTACTGCAAGAAGTCATAAATTAAAGATATTCCAGTTTAAACAAAATACACATCAGACTAGGCTGTATGGTTTAAAACGCCTTAATTGTCAAATCGTTACAACAAAAGTTAGTCAATATAATTTTCATATATGTTTATATAGGGTAATTACTAGCATAGAGGGAATCCTTAAAGAACGCATTAGTATATATAGAAGAGTTTTCTGAATAAAATACACGTCAAACTCGGCTGTATGGTATAAGACCTTTGCCTGTCTTAACTGACGAATCGTAACAA